ATTATATGAATTTTTGTTTATTTTGAAAAGGATAATAACAATTGATTTAAGTTTTAAATACAGGCTGCAAGTGGTAAATGCCAATATTAATATAAAAGAATTAGCAACTTTGGTAGAAAATTTAGATGCACAAAGAGAGAAGACAAACAACGATGAACCAGAGTGTGTTGTAAAGATAATGCTACCAATGCCATTAATTGATATTTTGTTAGTACCGGCTCATTAATTGGTTTGTTGGAATGTGACAACACAATATGTAGGTGAATGGCTTTCTATTAGGCATGGGAAAGAAACCAAGAAATTTCACATGGCCATCCCATTGAGAAGATGCAAACCCATGACCAACTACCACTGTTCGGTGATTTTATCCATTTAACTGTTGATGGGCAACTCATTGAAAAGTGTCATGTCCTGATCAGGAGCAAAATGGCTTTGTAAGGAGTTTAAATGAAACCATAGCACTTTTTTCCTTCTTGAGGATTTTATAATAAAGGAATGGCTTTTAACAACTTTTAACAAATATCTTCAGCCCAGCTGTCATCTCAGAACATAAGTTGATCCAGTGACAATGTTTTGAGATCAGCATCTTGATGGTATAAAAATTGCATCATTAATTTCAATTATAATTTCTGTATTATTAATTATTTATTTATTTATTTATAACTTTTGTATTATTAGAAATTTGGTACTAAAACATGTTTTTATTGAAAATATATATGTATAAATTTGTGGCTGCCTAGAATAATCCCTATTTATTCCATAATAAAATGGATTTATTTTGCATTGATTTTGTTTGTGTGTTTATGTAAACATGTCACCGGCATAAAATGAGAGAAGCCTGTATAATCATCAATTTGGGTTTTGTAGGACAATTTTATCAATTTCCATATAAATTAACTCGATCCCCTTGGAGATTGCTAGGAACCAGGATGTCCAATCTGGAGTTAAGTAAATAACAACACAAATGTGTTGAGAATATTGCATGGTGCCAACTCATTCAGTGAAACCATTCGCTGAAGAGTTCGTGTTAGGTGATCCTTCCAACACATTTGTGTTGTTATGCACATAACTGGAGACCCTGGTTAGGAATTTTTGATCTATAATATTCAAAAATCTCATTTCTGCTAGATCTAATAATGTAAACAATAATATCTAAATTACATTTTTCTAAAATTATTTTTGTGTAATATTTCTGTATCAATCTATGAAAATATTCTGGATTTCTATTTAATTAATTATCAGCTTAAAAAGTAACCTAATTATTAATCATTAATCACTTATTTAAAAAAAATGCCAATTTATTAAAGTTCGAATTTGTGGTTATTTATTAGAAAATTATAAATTGTTTCTTAAAACAACCTGTAATTTGTAGATCGTTTCTTGTATTCTTTGGACAATTTTAATCTTTTATAAGATAAAAGTAAGAGAATAATCAAATATTAAACCCATAAAATAATAATGATGTCGCTTTACTTGAATAATTAATTAGTTTTTCTAGATAAGATTATGAAATTTTTATTTGGCAAAACTCAAACATAATCATATGATATAATTAAGTATTAATAGAACATTCCGAGTGTAAACAATTATTTTAATTTTCAGGACATGTTGTTTTAAGATATTCTTGTAATTAATGTTTATTAATTATTTATAATTTGAGAACTTTTTGTTTAAAGTGACCATTTAAATTGGATTAATTTTAATGTATTTTTAATGGGCAATTTAATAAAAAAGCACTAAAATTTATGTTGATGTAAGATTATGTCAGTGTCAGTTTATATAAAACCTTGTTGTATTGCATAGCCTAAACAAACTTTAGAGTGAATAAATTAGTCTAAAATATAATATATTTCGGCTGAGGGAGCAAATGAGGCACTTACTCCTGTGATCGAGCAAAAAGATTCTACAAATTATAATCATAAAAGTGCTTGAGATGTGTGGCCTTACGCCCTTGACCACGAGACACTTTGATGTAATACTGTATTCTATATTTAAATTCTTCATAAACTAATTACATCAATAAACTTTTATTGATCTCCAAGCTTTGCCCCCTGGATGCCCGTGTAAACGAAGTTTATACACAGTTGTCACAAAATGTGAATGAATGGGGTACATGTTTTGTCAGGACAATTATGATTACAATGGAGTCCTGTATAACATGAGGATACATTCTAGATTATAGAAAATCACATTATTGAGATGTGTATTATCAGATGATTTTATGCAAGTTTAAACCTAGGCCTAGAAGTTGAAGAAGAAACCATATACCTTTACATGACAAAATTAGAATTTTGTATGAGTACTAGTTTGTTTTTTGTCACATTATACAGGAGTTCACTGTATAAACAGGATTTGTAGTAAAAGTTGAGGATGATCATAATTGAAAGATTTTAATATTTGTGTTTAATATTTAATCAAAAATACAAATAATAAATTTATCACTTAAAAGCCATGTTTGTGACTGAATTATTACTAGTAATGGTGTGTACTTTATTGTTTAAAAACAAAAAAAAAACCTTTTGTCCTCAGATGTTCAATTTTTAAACTGCTTGATAACAAATTGATATCCAAAAAATAAGTTAGATATAATCTTAAAGTAAAAAAAAGAGAGAGAGAGAAATTTTAGAGGTATTCTTTATTATTAGTTCTAATTAATGTAATTATCATATCTAACATATACTATTTGGTTTGGCACTTAAACGTTGTTGAAAAAATGTCTATGCCTTTGTTTTTCATCAAGATAATGCATGCCTATACATAATATGTAAATTTTTAAAGAAATTAAATTATTGCAAACAGAAAGTTGTCTTCTGCCATATTCTCTATATTGAGATCTTTCCAATTATATCCAATTTTTCATTTTATGAATGGAAGAAGTCTTAAAAGTATGATCAAGGTCTTTAAGACTTATCCAATCCCTCTAATTTTATAACAAGAGCATTTTTTAATTAACTGTTTGATGACTTGAGTTCTGATAAGAGAACAAGAACAATAGTACGATATGCTTGTTTTAAAAGTTCAAAAACTTGGCGCGTACTTTCCAGACAATTCAATATTAATCTGCAAACAAAAATATTCAGTTTAGTAAGGATAAGAATAAATATGTAGCATTATTATTATGAAAAATATCTGTGAATGCTGTTAAAGTGTCTGTTAAAGTATTCAATCAAGTGGTATATTTCATTTGAAATTCAGTCACTTGTAAGTCATTGACTGGGTTAATTTGACTCAATAATTTTCGATTTACCACATACTTTTAAAAGATAGTAATGCTAAATTTTAAAATTTCAATCATTATATGAATAATTTATAAATGAAGTTGATAATCAAACATTTGATCTTAGTTTAGGTTTGTTACAGTTACTGAATTTTTGGCTGGTTTCCTAACAGTCAGTAATTTTAATTCATTATCTGATGGTTTCTATTTATACCCTTTATGCAACATAAATAAACTGAAAGTTCTTTTTTTTTAATAAGAAAAAACACTTTAAAAATATAAATTGTATAATATTTGTGGTTTGAAGGCAGTTTTAGTTAAACTGATTGTTTATTAAAGTTATTGAAATTGTGAATGTATTATGACCAGTATGTATACATCATTAGCTAATTGTTATATTAATTAAAGCAACAGCCATGATAAAGTTCAAGAATGCAAGATAATAAAGTGATCAGATCTTGAAATGTAAAAAATGGAATATTATGTCGGCACTTTGACATGATGTTGGATGAATCATGTGATTGATACCAATCATTGATTTTCTAGCTCTTCAACATCATTGATGGATGACAGACTTACAAACAACCAATGAATGTTTTACTTACTTTGTAAACAAGAGTATATAGATAAAAATCTACAGCAATAGTGACAATTAACAGTTAATTATGGCTCCGAGCATATCTTTGTTTACTTTATCTGCCATTTTCTAATTCAGATAATTAGCAAAAGCTGTCATCTCCCTGTTACAGTTGATCTGCACGTAGTATTCATTCATTGTTTTCGGATAGACAAGGTTGTGCCAGACTGGGTAATAGATCTCCAATTGGGCTACTGTTTCTATAAATTGGGTTTTAATGTTTTTGCACTAACTTGTATGCAATATTTGATTTACAATTTATGCAATGAATATTGGCTGTTTCTGCATATAATTACAAAACAGTCCAAAAGTGGGACAGTTTTAAAATCAGGACAGTATATTAATTGGGTCTGTCCCACCTAATTTGAGAGTCTGGTCACTTTACAAGAATGAAAATATTTTGCTTTGTCTTGCATTCCTGTAATTCCTAACGTATGAGAAGTTTAATTCATTTATATTGACATTGCTGTTGTCTTTTGTTTAGATATAAATGATGGTTTGTGTGTATATAGCAAATATTTATGTATATTTTTAATTACTAAATAGAGTATTTTTCTTTTTTTCTAGATTAACTTGCGTTTAATACTTGTTAGTGGTAAAACAAAGGAATTCCTTTTTAGTCCGAGCGATGCTGCTGCTGAGATAGCCCAANTTGAGCAAATGATCAGAAACATACAAGCATTATATTTTCTTAGATGTGTTAATAACCATATATAGCATATGTCAGTGGTTCACAAATTTTTTAAATTTTAGGCCCCCTTGCTAAATGCAGATTTTCCCAAGGTGCCCTATGTCAAATTCTAGCATTATAAAAATTTTATAACATTTTGTGGCACCCCTGTGAGGAAGCTGCAGCACACACTTTGGGAACCACTGGCATATATAGTTAAAATACTGTATTGTCATGATAGAGATTAAATAAATTTAAAATCAATATTTTAAAAGTAAAAATAATTTTAAACTGTATATTAAATAATATTTATTTGATGCTAACAAAATTCATAATAATATATTATGAATTTTGTTTTACAGATTCTACAACAGCAAATCCATTTGCCCCACAACCAGTCTCGCACGTTGCACAAATTGGAATATCAGTAGAACCACTAGTTCATATACAAAGTCAAATACCAGTAACAGATGATAATGCAGCTGTTAGTAATTTTATGGAATTTGCTACAAAAATGCTTGAAAACTTCTTTAATTTTGCATCTTCATTTGTAACAAATCCAGCAGCAGTTGCACTAAGCCCAACTGAATTTATCCCAATAAGTGTTTTTCAACAATGGTATACAAACTTTCAAAGACGACTCCAAACCGATCCAAACTTTTGGAAATAAGAATATTTGTTGTGTTAATATTATCAAGACCAAATGTTTCAATTACTGAATAATTTTTCTAATGGGTAATTTTCATTAAACTTTAAAAAAATCTGTATTGTTTTATATGCTGTGTACTTCCAGAAATATGCAATCATTATGTTCTTAAAACTAAAATAGATCTATATTCACGTGCTTAGATGAGCAATAATAATTTTTGCCATCAACCAAACAATATCAAAGGGTTGTGAATTAATTTCATTATTTCTTTACTGGTTAAGTAAAATTTTGATGTTGAATTCCAATTTTAAGTTTTAGCTTCATACATTCAATTTCTAAACTTATTATATGTATATTTTTAATTACTAAATAGAGTATTTTTCTTTTTTTCTAGATTAACTTGCGTTTAATACTTGTTAGTGGTAAAACAAAGGAATTCCTTTTTAGTCCGAGCGATGCTGCTGCTGAGATAGCCCAATATGTTTTTGACAATTGGCCTCCAGGTAAAATCATTTTGTTGATAGTTGTAGAAGGAAATATTGAAGATAATATTTCTCTCAAATCACGAAAAGCACTTTTGTTTTTGTAAAATTAAGTTATTAAAAATTGTCGCCAGCAAAGACGCACAAAAATTTATTTTGAATGTTTTAATGTTGAATTGCCATTCAAGTAAATTTGAAATCTGTTAAAATATTTCCTTTTCACCAATAATGTATAATTTTTCTAAATTAAAATTAAAATTTTGGCAAAATTACACTCCAAACCTGAGGAAAATTAACATTACAGTGCCAGAGTTTTGTAATTTTATTAATGCATATTTCAAAAACAACTTGGTGGGTGAAAATTAATTATTCAGAAATTAAAATAATACAAGGATTAAGAGCTGTTTTTCCAGGTAGTCAAAATTATTATTGTAAGAAAGATTTCAAACTGAAAGTTTTGGCTACCTGGGAAAGTAATTTCTATTTCTTGCAATATGGTGTACTTAATATAAAGAATAAAATATACTACTACTATTTTATAATGTTAAAATCAAAAGTTTTAGTACTGAAACTAAATCCAATGTGCATATTCAAACATAAATTTCAAAGTTACTCTTGTGAAATGAAAAAATTCTGCTTTACTGGAACTTCATAAATAAAATGAAGTTTTTTCAATGCTAGGTCATTTAAAAAATAGAATCAAAATAATAGTATACAGTAAATTTCTCTAACTCAAATGTTTGTAACTTGAATATTTGTTCAACTCAAAGTAATTGAAGTTCTCGGTAGGTTTCAATGGAATAGCATAGGGATTTAACATCTCCAACTTGAATTTCTTAATTCAAATTTTCTCAGAGTCAAAGTTTTTCATGGTCTCCAAAACTGATTTATGTTACTTTCGACCTCCTCGACTCAAATTTTAATCTTTATTCTATCCAAAGTGATCCTAATGATTTCCATGAAATTTTCAAACAGTTGGATCTACTCTACAACACCAATTTTCAGACAATGTTCCAGTCCAAAGCAAGAGGTCCTCTTACTTTCTCAACAAGATGTACCTGCAAAACTGTTCAATTCCATTAGTTACATTGAACATTTTTCTGAAAGGCATTATGCAGGCTGTTTAAAACAAAAAAAAAAAACTATCAAAGATTTTTTATTTAATGCAAGAGATGTGAAAGTAAAATCTATTCAAAATCAGTTTATTTTACTCTATTGTTTTCTAACTTGAGTCGTCTGTAACTCAGTTTTTTTCTGCCCCTTGGCGCTTCAAGTTAGAGAAGTTTTACTGTATATTATAAATAGTAGTAGATATATCTGTATATCTTGATATTTTAATAAAATCAACATTTAATTATAAATGGATATGATACATGCAGTATATTTCTCTCTTTCACTGATGATAAACCCTTAATTTAACTAATTTTAAACCATATTTTCCAGAAAGACAATGTATACTTTTGTGGCAAGAAGATATTAATTATTCATATAAAAATAGTCATTTTGAAACAATATTGTTCAGCAGGACTGAACTTTGTTTTGTGTCAGTTATTTCTGTTGAAATACTAATGAATGGTTCGTATAGAAAATGGAGAAGTTTTGTTCAAAATTGATTATGACATAGCTTAATTAGAAGATTGAAAAAGTGCGGCAAAACTTGTTTACTGTTGACATGAAGAGTGTATTGAAATCATAATTTAATCAATAAGTAATTTACAGAATACATTTTAAGACATTATCCATCTAATTAAAATAGATAGATTTACATATATTTTATCTAAAGAATGAGAAGAAAAAGTTGACATAAACTACTTGTAACACAAAGTACTCGGAACAGCTGGTGTAAAAATATAAAAGTGGCACGTAACATCAATATATGTTAAAATAAAAAGAAATACCAACTTTTGATGTAAATGATTTTAATTAAAGCACAAAGATTTACAAAATACGTTAACTTACAGAAAGTACTTATATGTGTAAATATAGCATATTGTTTTATTCAGAAGTTTTGAACGTTAAATTTAAGTGAAAACTTTAAACAAACCTTAAAAATTGTGTAAACTGTACCAATGAGAAGGTGTTTAAACATACATTTTCAATCACATTTTTTTTATAAATTAATTTCGAAAAATATTCTTATTTTTTTTCAAAATTTAAGGAATATTTTAACACACAAAATGAACTAATTCCATAATGACAAAAGACTTTCTCCTTTCACTCCTGACTGATCTTTCCTTACAGATAACCTCTATCCTAGAGTTTTATCCTCTCTATTTACTATTCTTTTAAACCATCTATGTTTTAAAATTATATTGTGCGATGTTAATATAGTTGTTAAGAGTGAAAGCACTTCTGTTGCTTTGGAATTAATATTGAAGTTACCCATGTATCCATTTTTCTTCACTATTAATGCATTAATATATTTTGAAATTCATTACATGTAAAAATATTGAATCCATAGTCAAATAAGTTATTTCTTTATTCGTTCAAAACTTCTGGGGAATGAAAAAATTTTTTAATTATAAATAAAATATAAATTATTATTTGAATTTACATATTTTTTATCTAACAATTAAATCTGAATTAATAATAATAATAATGCAAAACTTTTCTAACAAGTTATGCATTAGTAATTAACATGGTGAATAAGCTTTTGCAAGACATGCTTTATTAGTGTTGGATTTAATTGTTGGATATATATATGTGTGTGTGTGTGTGTATACGCACTTAAATGCAAAATTGGTTATAAGATTCTAATTTTTATAAATTAAGAATACTTTTCCTTAAAAAGAGGAATATAATTTGACTTATTCAGAAACTGTCTTAATTATTCTTTACTTCACAACTGAGTGCATAGATAAACACTGGGCATCTTTAACATCACTCATTATTCAGGAATATCTTACACACTGATGCGCATTTTTGGCATATGCTCCTCTTTCGTCACCTGATCAGTGCACTGTTGGGAAATTTTAACTGTAAATATGTGTATTTAAAAAAAAGGATGTGTATTAATTAACACCTCTTTACTAAATGTCTTAAAGAAAAAGCCAACAGAAGAGGGGCATATGCCCGAAACATGTATCAGTGTGTAAGATATTCCTGAATAAAGTGTTTTGTTAAAGATGCTCAGTGTCTACCTATGCACTCAGTTGTGAAGTAAAGAATAGGAATATAATTACTGTATTTGTAAGTTTTTCCTGTTTAGTAGTGAGTTAGTAGATAAAATTACCTTCTTCTCAGTACTGGAATGAATTAAAAACACATTTAACTAAATCTTTAACTTCCAGTAACAAATTTTTAACATAAAAAATTTCTGACGAGTGTTTTCGACCTTAACCAAGGTCTGCCTTGGGGTCATCGCCGATATTCCAAAATTGGAATGTTCAGAACTAAAATGTTTTGAATATATTTTTAAATAATTAGAACAAAATCAAAACATTATTAAACAACAACAAATTAATCTGTAGTAAATATAAAATTAAACAAGATATAAATATAAGAAATAAAATAATACAAAATAATAAATAATAATTATTATTAATTTATGTTGGTAATTCCTGGGTTTTCATAAAAGCATTGCCAAGCATACGAGATGCTTTTTCTGTGTTTATTTAAAGTTAATACAATTGCCAGTCAGGGTCGGCCTTGTATATTTCCAAGGCTTATAGGGCCCTGATGTGATTGGTTTGTTACTGGAAGTTAAAGGTTTATGACTTAGTAGAATTATGGCATATTGGATCATATAATATGATACTTAGTTGTAGTATTTTTGAAAATTCAAATTGCAGTGCAGAAATTTTATTTCGACATAAAATTATTTACGGTTTGATGTGATTCATCAATGTTTTACAGTACTGTGTGTTAAAATAGCTATACTGACATATGGAAGATATAACAAAAAATATTAATAGAACCCATGTAATTTAACATTCATAATAAATTATCTTCAATATTTTTAATGTATGTAATTCATAAATATTAAATACATTACAGAATGGGGTGATGAAGCTGTGTCAAAAGCAGAAATTTTACGCTTAATATATCAGGGAAGGTTTCTTCATGGAAATGTGACTCTTGGAGGTATTTAATATTATTATTCATTACAATTTTTCTTTTTTTCTTATTTAATCTTACTAAATAAAGTTTGAGTGAAATATAATTACTGGTCTTGATGCTATTAAATTTTTTTTTTTTATGATAAATATAGTAAAACTTTATGTAGTATCACACTTTTAGACTGCCATTTATACTTATGAATAAATATTAAGTAGAGAATCCTTTAATGTCCTTGAATTCTTAAATGTAGGATGCTGAAAGTCACACGTTTTGGTAATAACAAACTCAAACTTCAAACCTGTTTATAAACCTCACTGCTTTAAACAAATTTTACTGCCTGAGGATCTAGATTTAATAGCACACCCAATTTAATGTCAACTTCAGAGGTAAATCAATGACAATACTGTGTTGAGGTTTGACTATACTTGTCTCTATTCTTTAATTAAAAATTAATTTTTCCTGAAGAATTTAATAATTTTACACTTGTCATATTTTGTGATCAGGTTGTTTTAAGGATGCATTTAGGCGTTTAGACGTGCATTAGATATATTAGATTTCTTCAAACACATCAAAAGGTATTTAATACAGCTTGAAATATCGCGCCAAATATCAAATAAAAGAAAGTAAAAACAACACAGTGTGTGAAGTTTTTTATTTCTGCTAGCACTTTCAACAAACTTGTATTCATCACCATCAGGCAAACAAGATTTAAAATATAGAACATAATATTGTAATGTAAATGGAATAAATATCATTTAAATCAAAATTAAAAGTCGTCATGTGTGTGATCATAGTTCAATTATGCAAAAATTTGAAACAAAACACAGTGCATACATGAGTGGGAAAATTTATTTACAAAAATTGGGTCCCCATGGGTTCCCCTTTATCTCCTGTTCTAGCAGAACTGATCATGAGATAAAAGGTATTTAACTTTTGTCTATAGTCAGAAATCAGATATATTTTTTACATTTACACATATAAGTGGTGACAGAAATTTTACTCATGTTGAGAGAAGAAAATAAACTGTGTAGGAAATTTTCTATTTAATGAATTTGGTGGGACCAGTATAAGAAGTATAGCAACAAATGTTTAGTTCCTACCTTGCAAGTATAAAGTACATTTAGAAATAAAATTTTCTAATCAAGCATGATAAAAACTACGCTTGTATGACGTCTGTTTTTTAATTTATTCAAACTTCTATTTTAAATTGTTTATAATGGCACCCAGGCTTTTGTACTTGTAGTGTTGTCAGAAATCAGCTAAGGCTCCTGCAAATGTCTATCATAAAGTTGCCAAGTAAAAATAATTAAAAGTAGAAGCTTCAGGCATTATACATGTTAGTTTTTGATATCAAAAATCTGTAGAAAGAAAATAAATGTTTTTAATAAGCAAAAAATTTAAGACATTGACATAGAAACAGTTGCAAATTTTTTTCAAAAGTAACCCAATTGGCAAGAAATCACAGGATCTGGAAACTTGTCCTGAGTCTGAAACTATTCTTAACTGTGGGAGAGTAATGCTCACAGTTGGAGCTAGTGTCTTCAATTTCTCCTCATACAAATATTTTTTATACAGTCTGCTGCACCACAAATGGCAAGAGTTTGAAATAAATGGAATTTTACAACTTTGAGATTGTTCATTATATGACATAATAAACTCCACACATTTGTATACTGCATTTGCCATATATTGTAAGTTGTTCAATATATTGAAAAGTTTGTTATAGGAAGAACTCAAATTAAATTCTGAATACAATACAAGAAATTGTTTAATTATAAATTTCAATGTTCTAGAACAATCTTTAAGGAAAGGAAAAGAATTCTGCAATATCAGCAAAAATATAATTAAGTATATTACTTAAAACAACTTGTAATTTACTTAGCACTTCAATACTTCTTTCAGTGATCATTTTCTTAAAAAAACAAATGTTTTTAGCCTCTTCATTGGCCCTCTTCAATCATATGAGCAGAAAAAGAATTTGAAAGTTTACAAAAATTTGACAGAATTTAACATAGCTAACGTGTTGGAATGTTCTATACATTCAGAAATTTAAATTGACAAACAAATGTTTTTGGTCTCTTCATCATAAAACATTCTGACATTGTTAGCTATGTTAATATCCTATGAAATTTTTGGAAACTCTTTCAAATTCTTTTTTCTGCTTGTATACCTGAAGAGGGCTGACAGAGGTCAAAAACTTTTTTTAAAGAAAACAATTGCCAGAAGAAGTACTGAAGTGCTAGGTAAATTATTAGTTATTTCCAATTTCCAGCTTCTGTGAGTGTTTATAAAACAACTCAGGTTTATCCAGTCTTAGAAGAAACAGTACAAAAAAAGTCATTAGAATATCAATTATTCATAATTTAAAATGAAATCTTTTTAAAATATCACATACGATAAGAAATTTTTAAATAATTTAAATCAAGGAACTTAAATCAAATTTATAAATGTTACACTCATTACACACACAATCTTCCTTCCAGTCTAATCCTGTCTGGCATGGAAGAGTAAGCTTAACATTTCCAGTGAAAATAATAATACTTTTTTATCCTCCATAGTTTTTAATTAAGTTCCTGCAGCTAATAATAATTTCATCTGCTGATATTTACGTTTTTCTCCAGCAAATCTTACATTTAATTAAAGTGGTGATAAAGAATATTCCCTGAACGTTTGTACGTCAAATTTGTAAATAAATAGAAATGCTCTTGTTATGATATCTCATATTCATAATGCATTTAAATTTACAGTCTTTTGAATATTAATATTGACAACTGACTCAATTCTATCAAAGCATTCCGTTTTAAGAAATTCAAGAACATAGAAAAAATTTAAATTTTTTCTGATCTATTAGTATAGTTTGTAACTATATATTCTTCTGAATTAGCTCATTATACTGTATTATTATTTGCTCAACAGTTATAATAAATATCAAATAAAATTAAGATTATTAATGTAATGGCTCTTATTAATTTGACATTTCAATTGAACATAATTAAATTTTCCCTGATTCTATTTCTTTATTAATGTGAGTCAGATACATCCAGATAATTCTACAAATCCTCTTTCTAGATGCAGTTGACTCCCATTAATATAATTAATTATTTCTTAATTATAATTGCCAATAGAATGTCACGGTCAGAATGAAACAATCAGGATTTTGATAAATTAACAATCAAATGATTATGCTTCAAAAACGGTAATTATATTTAATGGTAATTTAAATAATAATTTTGCATTGCAAATACATAAACTGATGAAATTTCTGAACAGAAATGCAGAAATAGTTTGTTTTACCTAAGGAAAAAAAAAAAGGTAATCTGTATTTACTAAGAAGGCAATATATTAAATACTTTCAGTGTGTTATCAATTAGATGCAATAAATCAAATTTATTACAGGAAATTTATGAACTTTGACATTTGATACTAAAATGTTAGCATATTAGAACAATTAGGAACAAAAGAGGAGATTAAAAATGGTATTTCCTAAAATAAGTAAGACAAAATTCTATAAGAAATAAAGCTGCTGTTTACTGATTTTTATTATTTTTATACAAACTGTTTTATTGGAATCAGCATGCGATGCTATATATGGTATGCATGATTATGGTGCTTTTTTCTTATATGTCATCACATGCTGACTCCAATGTAGCAGTTTACAAAGAGTTTTCTTTCACTAAATGTAAAACTTCTTTTAAAAAAAGATTCTAACCAGCATGAATTTTAAATCGAGTTATTATAAATTGGGTCTGATATCCAGTTTACGATTGAACAGATAATTAATAAAAAGCCATCCAACTCAATATTATTACTTTAAAAGTAATTGCACATGTATAGAGAAAGCAGAGAAAAAAAAAAGAGAGATTTTTATCAATCTTGATATCATCGGCATTTCACTTGTCATATTACAAAAAATAACATGGTTAATTTTTAAACACAATTGTAAATATTTACATTAACTTGTTTTCTTAAACAGTTGATTCCATCAGAAATAAACAGAAAAATATTGATTTTGTAAAGCTTGTTTTTCTTTAATAATGAAATCAAAGAACAGGATTTGTTTTTACTTTGTTTTTCAGCTTCGGAGAAATAAAAATCTCTCTTAATATTTTGAATTTTGATATTTTCTCTGTCGATGCGGTCTTAATAAAACATTTTTGAATTCTTAAAATGTGGATAAGTTTTTGAGTATTTTAAATTTATTTTTAGCCCTCCAGCTCCCATTAGGGAGGACTACAGTCATGCATCTTGTGCCACGGGAAAACTTGCCAGAACCCAATTCACAAGGTACTTTAACTAAATTATATAATAAGAATTTGTATGAAAACATTTCTTCTGATTTTTTTTAATAACCTATAAACTACATTTAGTCCATTAATTAAATTTATAGAACATTTTGACAAACTAATTCTTAGTTTAAATCTTAATTATTTTTGCAAATGTGTGTGGGTGCTAATTTATTCTCTTCTGTTTGTTATGTATAACATGACATCAGTTTAATTATACTTGCCAATTTATTTTTGACAGAAAGTATAGATTAATAAGTCTGAAAATGTAACAGTTTCCAGTACAAAGTGATATATTTGTTTGACTATGTTCCACTATAAAAGACAACTAATTTAATTTTTTTCATTTGCTAATTACTGTGAAAAATATGAAGAAAAACAAACACTATTTACAGTCAAAATATAACAAATTTTATCTATATATCAGAATATTTAAATAGTTTATAAATCAAACAGACAGCTGTATATTAAGGCCTGTGTTACTGCTATTAATAAATTTGTATTCAATAACTAAAAATGGCAATGCTAGCATCTTTTAATAAATTAATCATCTGTACTATCTAAGTTAATTATGAATATATTCATGCTATAAACTAATTAAATTGTTGTAATTTTTGACTGTGGTTGCTTCGTACACACACATTTCTTACAACTAAGTGAGTTACTATGGGAATGCACAGTGGCTCAAGATAAAAGTAATTTAGCTAAAATACATGTTGTCATCTTATGAAACTCATATTGAATGTAATGCAGCAATAGTTATTTCATAATTTAATAAATCAAGTACATATACCATGCCAGAATAGAGATTATGGACAGCCATAGATATAATATATCTTCACTGAATGCAGTTATTAGCCTGTGTGGTTATGTTCTTAATTGATTATAGTCTGGGTAGTGTAATTGGTACTACATCTGCTCAGTATGTGGAAGACACAGTTTGAATGCAGATAATATGTACATATTATGTTATGTTAGACTCTGTGAATGGAAACGACAACCAGAATACATTGTGAGTTAATGGAAACAGTTTTGCAACAGTAAATTTTGCATCCTCACTGTTTATAAAGAGCCACAGTGTATTTTGACATTTTAAAAATGCCTTGATGCAAAATTTATGTTATAACTGTTAATGCTAGAACACATTGTGGTCATTTTTTTTATCAACACACCACAACATATCTTAGTTGTTTTCTGTGTAGTAGGATATGATTGAATATGTATAATAATTAGGAATAACAGCCAAGCTCAATTATTTTTGCAGAAACTGTTAGAATAGCATTTGAAATTAGTCAATATCTTTCAAAAGATATTTATACTTTGATCGATGCAGTACCTCTTGCAACCACAGCTTATAAAACCTTTCTGCTTACTTCCAGACAATAAATTTTGAGGTAAATCAGGTACATAATGTTGTCAGCAGTGTAAACTTATGAGCATAGATCCTCAAGTAGGCCTTTTTTGGTAACAAACTGATAAAGTGCAGCCATGTTTGCTGATTTGAAGTCAGACCAAAATTAATGAATGTCTGAGCTGACTTTGAGGAAGAAGAGAAAAGCTAATTCAATGTGGTTAACATGATAGATTGTCATGTGTGTATGTTGTTTCTGCAACAACATGTGGTATGTTGATAATGCTGGATTGTGTTGTGATTTCTTTTAACAGTCCCAATACAAAATATGCATTATAGCACAACAACCCAAATAGTTTAATAAACCAAATAACTATTGCTAGATTATATTAATCTTTCAACCAAATTACAAGTCAGATGAAAATAACAAGTTAACCTGACAGGAGATTTTTTTTACAATGTATTTGTTGAAAAAAAAAATAGTGCTAAACTTCAGAAAAAGCATTTTCAATTAATTTAATTTTTGGACTAAATAAAATGCCTCCCAAATTTTCATATAAATTAAATTTCATATATATTTTATAGCTAAAATGTAAGTATATTAATCATTTCATGACTTAGCTTTATCATTTATGAAAAAGAAATTTATATATTAGATTTTATATTAATAAATAATGTTGAACTTTCTAGTGTAATATTACTTTGTAAAAATGTCTTTGAAAATAACAATCTAGGATAGTGATAATCAACGATCCTTCTTAGTATTGTCTTGTGACCTTCTAAGATGTAATAACTATATATTTTTCGTTTTTAGTTGTAGGTTTATATATATTGTAAGGGAATAAATTCTCATTTATGGATGATAAGTAATGTAAAGTATACCTATTCCTCTTTTTACATGGTCTATTTTTATACAGTTTAAAAATTAAGCAATTGATGAATTAGAAACATTTAGTTTTAAACCTGAGTTCTGTTATCATTTTTAAACACAGTACAGTACAGTACTATATTTATATCACAGAATACCGTCTGTTGATTTTGTGTTTTCTGTACTACCTTGTGTTTATTATACTTGTGTACAAATAATGTTAATGGTAAATGATGATAAAATAAAAACACTTGTGTTTCATTTGTAAATTGCTTATTTTTTTTTTTTTTTTTGTTCCATTGAAGTTATGGATGATATCAAGCACTTTTCTTCGGGATGCTTGTACAGTACTGTACTTTTTTTACATGGTGTTCTTTCAAAGTATCCACTGCTCAAAAAGAGGGATAGGTGTGTTACTAAATACTTAACTGCAACAGGAATTGGATAGTTTTAAATGATTTTTTCATTAATTTGGTAAGACACCCAAATTAAATGTGTGATATAAAAAATCAAACAATATTGTTCTTTTATTTTGTTCTAAGTTATTTTAAACATTTTGATTTATGAATAAATAACACCTTATATGAATTAGGGTGAGGAATACTTTAGTCAACTTGGTTATATAGATATCATATTTGTACAGTTGATATATGTTTGTCATTATGTAGCTAATATCATATTTCAGTAGTTACATCTATCCATAAGTATAGAATGCATTTGAATTTAATTTAAGTGTGATAAATTGAATATGTGACATAGAATGGAGATTATACGATAATATCAACAAACCTCATCCATTAATAATAATGGTCAAACAACAGAGTAGATGTGAATTATGTGATATGAATACAGGTAAATTAGTGAAGATGTTTGAATTAATTTGGTCTTATCTTATGTAATTTATGAATATTTGTATATATATAAATTATATATTACTTTTACAATTGGTAAAGCGGTAATTATCTCGAGTTCTTAGTGCAAAAAATAAGGTTGTTGCAAGTTATCGAAAAGGATAATAACAACTTTGTTTACATAGCTGCAGACGTTTTTAGTATGTTTGTATAGTACAGTTTTTAAAGTGTAAAAAAAAGTTAACTGGCTTTAATGATTGCCATAAAATTTTGAACAAAAAAAAGGTAAAAAGAAAAAAGGCTAGAGGTTTCAGAGGAAGTTTAATTTGAGCAATAAAATAGGAAATGAAACGACTTCTTTAGCTGACTCGTATGAAAAAATTCATAGCTAATTACAGAAAATTTAATTTGAGAAATTATAACCTCAAATAAAAAAAGATATGTAACAGTTGTTGGCTATTTAATTAATGTTCAGTCAACTAGATAAATATAAGTGCAATGATAGTTTCCCCGCTCAGTTTGATAACAGCAATTTCATATTTTGTAATGGTTTTTAATTATAGCAAAGTATCTTCAACTTTAAAACCCTAAAGTGAATTTTAGATTTATCAAAGAAACATACTTTTCTACAATATTCTTTGAAATTTGAAAATATTTTCAGTAATTACTTGATAATTTTCTTTTGAGGGATTTAATGTCTGGTTACACTTATGGTATTCGAAACTCTAGAGTTCTTACTTACGTCATGCATAATAAATTAGAACTTAGAAGTGATCTGTTATGTATAGTCAAAGGTGGACTATAAAGTTTAGAATATTTCCATTTTAAATAAATATTTCAAAGCAAATTCTGTTATTTTTATGTAGATTAAATAAAGTGGTTTTTTTCCCTCGCTAAAATCATTGAATATTGTTCACAATTTTATGACAATAAATGAAGCAAACAGTATATATCTTTAACAGGGAATTAAGGCTGGGGAAATGCTTATGTTGTCAGTTCAAGTAATGGCCATCTTCAAGCATGAACAGATGTAAGATGAAAATTCCTTTTACATCTGTTCATACTTGAGATGCTCCATTAACCAGGCCAAAAATATTAGCATAAAAATGCATTGGTTACTTCATTAAATTAATTACAGTGGCTTGTTCAACTTTATTGACAATACTTTACTAAAATTATTCAAAGAAATAAAAAAAAAACCAACACATTTAAGTATTTTCTCTTCATCATGCAAATCATTTTCAGATCATATTGAAAACAGATGCTTTTAATAGGATCTGAATAATTTTAGCAAAGTATCAACAATAAAAGAAATTAGGATATTTTTTTTGTTTAAAGTGATGATATTACAAATAAAACAGATATCCTGATGAATTCCCCATTAACATGATGCAGAATTGTTAAACAATTTGTCCTTTCAAACACACAATTAGAAAATATTTTAAATGATTAATAATCGGTCGTCATCGTTAAGCTTAAAGTCGGGTCGTTCGTAGTTGTTTTAATGGATTAATTACTTGTAGTACTCTATTCTGTAAATTTAAATTAAAAATAATTTTATTTAACATTCATTCTTAAAAATAAATCAATTTTCCATTTTAAACTTTATTTTTATTCTTATAAAAGGAGGAAGGTCAAGAATTGCATTTCATCACGGCCATACACCTATAAATTAGTGTGTGTGTGTGACACGTAACATCTGCATGTGACATATTGACATAATACACTACATCTGCACATTTCCCTTTGTGTAGAGGAAAGTTAAATATACAAATAATATAGCTATATTAAGTTCTTAGGTTTTTGGACCCAGCAGTTAAGAAAAAAAATTGATATTTGTGTGTTGTGTCTTGTTTTATATCAGAATCAAGTAATAAACATTTACAATTATCCAAGTGATAATATAAAAGAAAATTTATTCATTCTGTTAGCATCTTTGCTATATATTATTTCATCCGTAAAATGAATATAACTTATAGAAACAAAAACACATGTAAATATATAGTATTGTTTATGCAATCAATATGGTTGCATTAACATTTTCATGATAAACCAATGAACATCAATTGAAAAGGGGGAATATGTTACCATTGACAACTTAACTCAAAATCAGTGGATCGATCATTGATAGTTATTATTCTGGAGTAAAATTTTACTAGGAATATTGTTGTTTATATAAAACATTTGTGGGTTCATGTATTAATATGTGAATACATATAAAAATAAGAAAAATTCTTACTTTAGAATTTTTATTATTCTATATTGGTTTTTTTTACAATTTTAACCTTTTTATTGCATTAGTATATTATTTCAAATACATTGACATGTATTATAAACGAGTCGTGTCATTTTTCCTTTTGACGGGGATAATGTAAATGTTAGGATAAAAATATTTGGGAATTTTTTTAAGTGGAGGAGTCACTCATACACATAGTTGAGTAAGTTTTAAGGATAAAAGGAAATTGAATATATAAATATTTATTTTTTTCAATTTAAATACAGTAGGTAAAATTTTTAGCAATAATACATTATTATAACATTAAGTAATGAAATATTGCTGATATAAAAGATGTTTCTTTACAATTATTATTATTAAATTAATAATAAAATAATTTCTTGAGTATTGCTTGGTAAGCATTTACTGCAAGATTCTGAAAATGTTTTAGAAATATTTTTAAATGTTGCTATGTTTTCTAGTAAAATGTATAAAAAAAACCAAAACCCTAAAAGAAGGTTAAGTTTAAACACGAAACAGTCATTTTAATCCTTTCAATGGTCCTGTATTATTCATAGAAGATATAATTAAACTACACTACATGCATTTCAAACTGTTTTAATTTACAGTTCCTCTTCAGTAGTAACACATGAAAAAAGGCACAATATAAACTTATTTGTTTTGAAGTTACAAATCACGAGGGAACTGAGATACTGAGGTATCTCTGTTCTCTCGTGATTTGTAAAGTTGAGTCGAGAAACATGCACAATATAAACTTACACGCGTTACTACTGAAGAGGAACTGTTACAGTTCAAAATGCATGTAGTGTAGTTTAATTTGTCTCTTCTATTAATAATAAAAGATCAAGGCTGCTTTGTTTTTTTAGATAATAAAATGATTGATCCTCTGTCAGATTGAATAACTAGATATGTACTATGTTGTTTTATAGTATCAATAGTTGAAATACCTATATATGAAATTTTTTCATAAATTAAAGAGCTGGATTCTTATTTAGTTTTCGTTAATCATAAATAATTACTATGTTGAGGTAAAGCTTGTAGTTGGCCAAATGCCATCATGGGGTGGGAGACGTCCCATTTGGTATAGTGATTAATCTGCATATTTATATGATCTTAGTTTAATATCTGGATGAAGATTGGATAAAGGTATAGTTAACGTAACTAGTAATGCATTTACATGGTATGTAGAAGATGCAGTTTCTTTACTTCAGAAACTTTTAGATTAATGCAAGAATGGCTGCCTAACCGCTTATCTTTTGGCCAAATTATTTTGATCACGAGTTATCCATATTATGTCAAAATGTGTTCCATCAATAGTTATTTGAAAGTTGAAAGCATTTTTTCTTTTTCTAAATACTAATTAAAATACATATTTTAATTAGTATTTAGAACATAAAATTAGAAATTTGGATAATTCAAATCTAAAATCACTTGCATTCCAAAAAGAAAAAACACTACTACATGCTACTTTCTCTTTTAAACTGATTCATTGAATGTGTGTGTACTGAAGATTACCTGAAATGCATGCATTGTCGTTTAGGCAAAATTGTCACATTTTATGATTTTAATAATAATTGAGTATCAAATATCAAAATAATTTTGCTACATTTCTATGACACATTATAAGCCAGAGCTACTTAACAACTGCTACTCACTGTATAATAGTACAGTAAAACAACCTTTGTAGATCCAGAATAAAACTTTAATTTTGAAAAAATCTAAACTGACTTTACAGAAAGTAAATGATCTTATAAAGATCAGTATTGGTTGGAAACATTAGTTGGTTTATATTTTTTTGAAATTAAAGTTTTGTAATTTGGTACTAGAGGGAGGTGTGAGGTGTGATCTCTTATTAAATTTAATAATTATAATTTTCTATAAACAAAACTTTTTTTATCAGTGTTGTATTCGACACAAAACCCACTAACGTTTTCAGCCTCCACCAAGGCCTTCTTTAGGTGCTGAACTAACTGGTGTCCCCTGGTTTTGTGTCGAATACGACACTGATAAAAAAAAAAGTTTTGTTCATGGATGTTTATTACTCAATACAGTGTTAATACTTAGAAGACGTTTATTCTGTGTATAATTTTCTTCCAAAAAATTCTAAATTATTTAATATATATTAATTTAAGTATAATAAAGTTTCATTCTTGATCTACAAAGATTGTTTAAGATGTGTTTACTAAACCAGAGCATAGACAAATTTAACTTTCGAGTTGAAGAGAAAAAGATTTTATATTTTAATTGTTATAAAAAGAAATATAATCTTTATTATTTATGCCAGATTTATTATATCCAAATTATTTAAAATAGTATAGAAGATAAGAATTGTCAATTGAAAACAACGTTGTATGAAAAATTAAAATTAAGCAAAAATATTTCTAAATATAATCAACAGTACTTTTTGCATTTTAATGTCTAATCAAAGATAAAATATTATTTAATTAATTAATTTAAGTTAATGAAAGCTTTTTAGAGAGATTGATATGAAAACATTTGATCATGACTCTGTTTATAAAGGTGCTAACTATTTAAAACAGGCTAGATAATGAAACATTGTATACATCCATTCATTTATCTAAATTTCAACTTGTTAGGCAGTTATTCAATTTGATGTGAAAAGATGCAATTTATGTGCACGTTTTCTTTTCTTTTTTTTTTCAGACCAACGACAGAAGAGCAAGGAAAGAGCCAGTGGATGCTGCAATGCTAGTTGCTCAATATTATAAGCTGCCAAAGTATCGTGGCAACAGGTTTTGAGAAGTTAACGACTCCTCCATTCCATATATCCCAGGTGCAGCTGGAAGGAAGTATGCCCTATATAGATTAAAGTATGTTTAACAGTTACTTTGTGCCAACGAAGTGCTGTGAATTCAGTAAAGACTGCTTCAGATATTCTCATAAATGAGTGTTTTCTGTTATAGTCTGTAGCCATTGATGTATATGAGTTCTCTCTCTCATATGGACTTTCAGATTGCTACATATCATAGTAGACTATCTTTAGTAGACCAGTACAAACAGAAAAATATCCTTCTAGCTTATTAAAAAAAAAAAAATATTGCAAGCATTTATTGTTATCTGCCAATAGAAAAATGTATATTATAAATTTGAGCATATTTTGTCAGAACTGGGGATTTAAATCTACAGCTACTGTTTCTAAAATAGAATGAATAAAAATTAAGTCTAGATTTCAAAGAACTCAATAGGAAGTGGGAGAACTGTTTTCCAGGCTCTAGCTGCTCCTGGCACTAATGGTGCCTGCTGCCATTTAGTCTCTTGTCCATAGCTGTCATAAACATTTTGACAAAAAAAAATGTCCATTCTGGCCAACACTACTCTGGATATTTTTTCCTAGCACCAACCACCATTTGCTTCTCGTGAGTTTTGCACAGACTGGTTGTCATCACAAAGTATCAAAGTCGGGATGTGACTATGTAATTAATTATGTAACACAAGCATTCCAGTCAGTCTCTTTTTTTTCTTTGGTCAACTTTTGCTTGTATTATATATAAATTATCAATTTTTTCCCTCCAAACAAAATAAGAGATAAAAAGAGAACAAAATGGCAGTGTGCTAATCGACAATTTAAAAAAAAGAAAATTGAACTGTATTTTGTAAATTTTTGAAAGGAACTCCCAAATATAGGAATGTGCTTCAGTCTAGGATATTTCAGAAAATACCAATGAGTAAAGATAGAAATGAAATGTGTTCATACATGCGTGCATAGAAATTATTGCTGTCCCAATATTGGCCTATGACACCAATATGAACATACACGAGCCAATATAGATTCCATTTTATGTAAATAGAGGAAAAAAAAATTTAGAAGTGTGCATTTGTCTTTGCAATAATAAGAATTGGTCATGAAATGAGTCAGTTTTGGGCACTGCTGGCTGACATCTCATAGACTATATTATCATAGGTTGTAGTTTTGATTTACGCAGTGGTATCGTGATTCAAAAAATGCTTTCAGAAAGCTGAATGTTTATCGAGCACACATTTCCCTCGAACAGTTTTATTTTTGCCACTAAATATTTATATTTTGATGAAATCCGAACTCGATATTAATTTTAGAAGCGAAGAGAACCGAAAGTGCATTCCATAAAACCGTTAAAGCGTTTATTGCATTTTTATATGCTAACGGCTCGAACTGTTCAGTTTTTCCAACACGAGGGAAATGTGTGATTTAGTCACTGTTACGAAATTTTAATAAATTGTAAATTTTATGGTATTTGTATTAATTTTCTTCTTCTCAGAATTGAAAAAAAAAAATTAAAATGTTATAGTGTCCATCTTAAAAGAAAAAAATCTCTAGTGAATATTTTTTTAATTGTTGTTGATTATATACTTATTGTATATTATGATTTATCATAGTGTGGGTCATACAAATTGGTATTCATTTAGAATTCTAAAAGCATGCCAAAAAAAAAAGAGAAAAAAAAAGAAAAAAAAAAGTATTTATNCTCACTGAGTTCATGTGGTGCCCATTTGTTGAACTTCTCGACTTTCCCTAACATGTTTAGATGTCGAGAAATGGTTGAATAATGAAAGTATGTTTAATCTTTCTGCAATTTCCCAGACGGTCGGGTGATGTTCTGATTCGACAATGTTCTTCAATTCTGATTTTTGAGATTTGTATTCCCGGAATGAACTTTTCTTTAACCAATGCCTGGTGGCCTGCTCACTCGCAATGCCTTCATCAAAAGTTTTATTGGTATTTCAGGTACTAAGTTTAAAATGCAAATCTTCGAATAATTTGCAAAAATTATATTTAATTTTTCTCGAATCTAGCGACGGCATTCTTTACGAAAAATTTCTAAATACTTAGCTAAGATTTTTATCTTTAAATAAATTTTGCACGTTTGGGAGTTCAGATCCAGACAAGGCTTTAAGAGTTTTTTGAATCCTTAGTAATGTAAATTAAATGAAAATAATTATTCTTTAAATATGAGTAATATTCATTAAATGTATGACGATACATTTATTTATGAGTGTAGGTTTCAAGGCTCCCGAATTTAGTCATTCTGCACAGTAAAGCAATAGTCGGCGTTTGCATGCGAGATGACATTGTACCAGACACTAAAAAATAATTATTTTTATATTTGCATGTATGAAATATATGAGTATGTGTAAGTCTCCGGAAATAGAAGTTCTCAAAGTACAAATGTTACAGACAACCATTTATACAGAAGTTACCTAAATTTGTTTTTTATGGTCATATAACTCGAAATATTTTTATATATAATAAACGGAGAGATTTTCTTCTTTTGTTTCTCGGTACGATTACATACACTAGTAAAATTGTCAGATTATTCCTAGGAAATAGCCAAATATAAAGTAATATATTGACCGTCACCGAATTTCTATTTGACATGTATTTGTGTGTTTAAATTAAAATATTGAGACTACTTAAACGATTGTATTGATGATGATAAATCAATCACAAACTCATGCTTACTATGTTAATTTCTTGCATTATTCTATTTCTTTTTATTGTTAATTGGAAACGATCTTCCTGTACATTTGGTATGATATAAATGTGTAATTTTCTCATTTTGTACAACTGTATATAAATATATATATATATATAATTATAATTTAAAGATTATTTTTGAAGAGCCTTGAAACCAACACTGTTGTTAAATATTCTTGAAAAAAAAAAAATATTGTATATGGAACAATGGAAGAACTGCCACGGTCCCTAACCAGTTGTGTCCATCAAATACGGAATACCTTTGTCTCGAAATGTACTCTATGTTAAAAGTAAAATATTATATTGTTCTCCTCAACTTCTAGATCAGAAATGTGTGAGCATTTTACTCCTGTAAATATTTATTCTATACTGTAATAAAAGTTGCAAGAGATCTGAAGTAAGTTTTGTTTTTTATTTTTAATTTATATAGAAATAACTAGAACAAATACAAATAATTCTATTAAAATTGCTCACCTTTTATTCATTTTGCCCTAGGAATTACACTGTGACACTGGCTTTCTATTTTTAGGCTATTTGTCTGTTAATCAATAATTAAAATACTGTTTCAAAGACAAAGAAAGACACAAGGAAAAATATCTTTTAAAAGGTTTTAAAATAAGGAACAGAGATCAAACAGATGTCTTCTATATTCATTGCCAGGCTGCTTAATTGAATTAATATAACATTTGTTTTCAAAAATGCAAGCAAGAGTCTATGCCATATAAATTTTGAAACACTTATCAGACTGCATTGAAATAAAAACATCCAAAATCTATTTAGTTCAAAGGAATGCCCACTAGTGGCCAAGTGAATAAACCATGTGTTCAGTGGTTTATCCACTCAGCCATGTGGAATTTACTGGGTTTTCTTTGTGTCTAATACCCAAATAGGTGCCAACTTCCCATAGAAAGTCATTCTTGAAAGCATTGCCCAACCTTTGGCGCATTGTCCATCAGCTAATCATTTCAAAAAACAACAAATGGCATAGCTATTATAAAAATACTAATTGAATTATACTAAACTGCCATGTAAAACAAAACAAAATAAATTTATACTGTGAAAACCTTTTATTTCAATGAATCTATATATCGAGATGTTTGTGCATGTGTTTACTGTATACAGTGTATTTTCAAAAGTCAGTTAACCAGTTTAATTAATAAGGTTGTTACAAATGAAATGGAAAATTTTTACTTCTGACTTTGAATGTTTATTAATTTAATTTAAAACTTGCATATTCAATCAAAATTATTTCCACCAACATTAATATGCTTTTCCCAATAGAATAGAAATGCATTAATGCCAATTTGATAGAAATGATGAGAATGAGAAGCCAAAAAGTCATTAAAGGTACTTTTTATTGCTTCTTCTTCCTTGAAGACTTTCCTCGGCATAAAGTCTGGAGAATAAGGTGGATGGGAGAATTTTGTTTGAATACTTTCATTTTTGTGATGAGTAATTAAAGAACTGCAGACCTCTAAATGATGCTCCTTATCTCTCTCACTGAGTTCATGTGGTGCCCATTTGTTGAACTTCTCGACTTTCCCTAACATGTTTAGATGTCGAGAAATGGTTGAATAATGAAAGTATGTTTAATCTTTCTGCAATTTCCCAGACGGTCGGGTGATGTTCTGATTCGACAATGTTCTTCAATTCTGATTTTTGAGATTTGTATTCCCGGAATGAACTTTTCTTTAACCAATGCCTGGTGGCCTGCTCACTCGCAATGCCTTCATCAAAAGTTTTATTGGTATTTCAGGTTGCTTCTGCTTCATTATGTCTCTGCTTATACTCAAAAAACAAAATTATTCAATTTCCTTTCTTCCATGCCGACAGAAAAATTACTCTTAAGCATATGAAATTTGCAATATAAATGTGATTACATTTTTAAATTCACATATTATATGTGCGCTCTTCCAATTGCAAACATCCAGCACTGTGTCACATGGAAAAAAGTTGAACTGCCCGAAGGTTTAAATTTTAAAAAAATGGCCATTTCATTTACAACAACCCAAAATATATATATTTTTTTAATCTTAATCTAAGTAACAGTTAATTAACTCTGAGTTTTCTTGGGGTGGTTTTCCATGCAATAAATCATTTAATAAATTATAGGCAATCCTTTATATATACAAACTGTTTAAAAAAGATTTCTTTATATCAATCTCTGTAGATGTAATCTTTGTAAACCCTTTGACCAACCTAGATAGAGTTTTTTTTATAGAACCATGAGGAAAGTATAGGCTATCATGAAACATGGACAACCCCATTCCTCTGCCTGATTTCGTCCTCTTTATACTTCATGATAAACAAATATGGTTTTCATTTTATTGTTTGCTTTTATACTAACAGATATGTCTTTGCACTGCCTTGGTAAAAAAGTAATAAGCATAAATATTAACTACATACTAATACACAATAAATAAGGAAAACAATTTTATAGTTACTTTCCAAAGGCATAAATTAATCTTTAAAAACATATTATCAAATTGATAACTGTAATTAAGGCAACCTGCTGCTCTAACTTGTAAGACACACCTGAATCTGGGTCAGAAACATTAAAAAGTTTTTGTAGATCATATATTTAACCCTGTCTCTCATCACCTGGCTGTTCCCATTGTACACCTGATTGACCTTATGATGGGTATGGATATATAAATATGGTCCTCTTAGTGCACACAAGACAATAGTAGTAAAAAAAATCATCATAACAAGGCAGGGATATAATAGGCATTTTATGAACAGAAAAGTGTGCTTTATGATAGAACAAGCAAATTACAGTGATTTTCAACTTGGGTTCTGCAAACAGAGATGTACGAGTTTTCACAGACCTGAAGAAAACTTAGAAGCCTCAGCTTGTCAGGTGTTAAGGTGTCAGTCTGCTGCTGAAATTCTGACGGGTCAAAACATCCCAAGAATTTTTTAGGGGTGGTCCATCCTGATATGTAGGCTCCGTCCTTCACTGTCCGGTTGCTCCATTGCGGGCTCGCTAAAAAAGGCCCTCTTAGTGCCCACCAGACAGAAAGAGTTTAAAGAAAAGTTATCCGAGTGCCCAGAAAATTCACGTAAACATACGGTGGTCAGCAGGAATCTTTAAAGTGCCACAGACTGTTCAAAATTGTTTTTATGCTCCAGTACAGTAGAAACTGGTGCAATTGTTTTTCATAAGAACAAAATTATGAAATACAAATGAAAGAAAGTGTTAATTAGAAATCTTTAAAATCCATTTAATTGATTTTTGAGTAATCATAAAAAGTAACATTTTAGGCAATTGCTGTTTAAGCTATGAATAATATAACAAAATTACATATTTATGTAAACTAAAATAAAGCGGGTCATGAATAAGAAATGAATAAATAATTTCAGTAATTTATAAGGAATGTTGTTCTTGATAAGTAGCTACACAAAATATTTAAATGTGTTAGGTTTATGTAATCATGTATGTACATGTACTGTACAGTACATTCACCTTGTACTGTATATATAACTATGGTATGGAATTTTCATCAATATGTATATTGACAAAATTAATTTTTTTACAAAATGCCTTTAAATGTGTTTAGTTCATTATAAACCTTGACCTGAATATCTAGAAACAATTCTATTTTCTTCTTTTATAGCACTAAATGTTATATTTGTGTGAACAATTCACTTTTTATTGCTGTATGGGTTTTTAATTACATTCTTATTTGCTTTATGATGTAATATTGAATTATATTGATGGCATTTCATCTGTTCTAGATATATACTCCTGAATATAAGTCATAAAGAAGTTTTTCGAATTGCAATTTAAATCTTTACAGTGGTTAACTGACGAACCATCTTTTGCATTAGCCATACATTATTAGTAATTATTATTGTTTAATAAAATACTTGAAATATATTTACTTCTTTCCTAAAGAGAAAAATTTATATATTTAAGTAAACAATTGATGATAAGTTTAGTTCAATGTCATAAAAG